ATTTGATATCAAAGAATTATCAATGGAAATGTTTTCTTTCATTGAATCTGCAAAAAGTGGTGTCAATCGGAGACTTTTACTCTAATAATTGAAAATGAAAGTTAGTAGTGATCAAAATTAGTTGAATCTTGATCACCTCAATTATCAATATGTTCCAAATCTAACGACATTTTGACTTTACAAGGTGAAGATGGTGTGAAATTAAGCTCCAACTTCATTCAGTTGGTAAAGGAGAAGAGCAAATCATGTCTCCTCGTAGACTAACACCGTCCTAACATTGTTTTTTTTAACAGTAAACATGAGTCTCAATTTTATTTTTATTTTGGATGTTTTTTCCAACCGGTAATAATATTATAGAATTTTTTTATGAGAATAGTATGAATTGCATATGTTTTTGTGTGGAATTCGCTAATTTTTTGACAAATTTTAATAGAGAAATGAAAGTTGTTAAGTTTTAGATACTTGGAGGATGTTTTTTTTTGTTTAGAAGCATAATTTAAAGATGTAATTTAAATTGAGGATATAGCTTAAGGATGTTTTTAGCCAAAAACTCGAGGATGGGGTGGTAAGAAAAACATCTAAAAAGAATTATTTTTTTTATAAAATGGGTGCGGGGTCTAGTAGAGCTGGGGGGGATGGTAGGGGCAGGGTGGGATGATAAAAAAAAACTTTAATTTTTTTTATTATTAAAAAATAAACTAACATTCTTTTTACATTTTTTTGGGAGAGGCGGCTGGTAGGAAGTGTGGTGTGATAAAAAAAACTTTAAAAAGGTTTTGTGTTTAAAGCTATTAACTAGATCCCTACTATAATATGGGTATCCATATTATTCATTGGGTAACTCATTTTTAATCATTTAAAATATGAGTCTAGCCGAGTACTTTGTTCATTTTTGTTCCACTCATTTTCGATCGATTCATATTCGACACGACACGCTCGTTCACTCCTAATTTTATCCAATATAAGAGAGGATGAATACAGTTGTATTCGTTGTATTTCGAATACAATTGATACAAAATACAAAACAATTATGCATTAAATAAAAAATGGGGCTCACTTGAATATTATCATCTTACTTGCAATTGTGGCGTCCATGTATATTTATAATTTATTTCGTTTGTTTTCATTTGTCCACTTAAAATTTTATGTCTCTTAAGTTATGATTAAGTTATGATTAATATGACTATTCTACAACAATAATCATATGAATTGATATATAATGATAAACCTTGAAAATAATTTGAAATAAGTAATTAATGTTGAGGATAAAATATAGAAAATAAAAAAAATTTCATGATATGCTAAAAAGTAAAAAGTAAAAGTAAAAATATATTTTTAATATAGTAGACCATAGATGTAAATGGTGGGATTCTACTATATGTCAATGGTAAGGTTCACCCAAACATTCAAAAACGAAGAAAATTTTATTTAGCAACTCTGTATTCTTTTTGTTGACATTAAAAAAAAAATAAAAAAATGTTTGTGCGGTCGCTCATTTCATTTAGCTTTGAAGTTATTTGTTTGACTATAAAAATTACGATTCATATTTTCTTCAAAATAAATTTTAATCCAAAGTTAAGTGTACTTGCGCGAGAGTAGTACTAGGATGATGACACCTGAGAAGTTCTCGTGTTGCATCCCTCTTTTTTGTCGAAATTAGAATGTGAAAATTTAAATATTTATGTTGCAAATTTAGAAAACAACTTATAGTTTATTTTCTAACTCACTTCTAAAATAGCAGTACATTCAAATACAAAAATTATTTCAAAACTATAAAAAAAAAATACATAATCAATTATTATAAAAAAAATTGAGGAATTTTCGCATATAGTCACTCAAAAATAACTTAATTATGCTTCATAACTATAGTTTGCTAATTACGATGCGTAGTTACATGTTAGAGAGAGGAAAGAGACGAGTGAGATTGGGAGAGGAAGGAGAGAGGCGAATTGTATATGTATATATGTCAAATAATTGTATATAAGTAACTGGTATACATATGTATTTCCATATTTAGCGAGTGAGATTGGGAGAGGGAGGAGAGAGACGAGCGAGAGAGGATAAGGAGTGGAGAGAGGCGAACTGTAGTTGTATATCTATCAGATAATTGTATATATGTTGGTATACATATATATTTGTCTGACATTAAGTCTAGTCGAAAATAAGTACTTTAGAAGCTGAAGTTATGTCGACATTAAGTTGGAAGATATTATGACACGAAAATATAAATTTATGTTGCATTAGAAAATGATTTCTTAGGAGAGACATAATTGAAGAGCAGCACGAAATAGGGGCTCAAAGTGCAAATGAGCCAACACATAAAATTCAAAATTCTTGGTGATATGACATAGGCAAATGTAAGAGTTAAAGATTAGGAGTTCATTTACAACCTGCAACCAATACTATCCTTAGTAGCATAGTCATTCAAACTTTAATTTCACCACCTATTATTGAAGAAAATGATTAAAAATATTACACATGGGCATATAATTTCAAGCAAACTTGTCAATATGCTAACTCTTCGAATAGCAACATCAAAATAATGTGCGATCCTGATCAAAACTCTACAAATCCAGACTATTACACTTTCCACTTATAACTAATAGAGACATTGATACTTGCAAAAAGTCCTACATTTAAAAATCTGAAACTACAATAAACAATGAAGTGTATACAAAAGCGTGCAACAAGTCCTTGAAGCTTGGTTTGTCTTAGCATCATCATAATGTAAATGACTCCTTGTTTTTTGTGATACTTATTCACTGAGTAGCTCTGATGAGAAAGAATATTAAGAGGTATTGCAAAAATGTTGACAGTTTAAAGCATGTATCAAAGAACATTTTAGGTTATTGATGCAATAATTAATTTGCAATTATAATTATTAATAATCTTTTGCATTGGAAAGAAAATAAGTGCACGTTAAATAGCGACAAAATATGATTTGTCGCTAATCACTGTTTAATATACATATAAAATTAAGAGCTTTAAAAGTCTTTGTTTTAGTTTTTTTTTTTTTTTTTTTGTTATGACTCAAAATTAAGAGTACTACACTTATAAGGACCATGGTTTACCGGTTGTTAATTACTACGTAGTATGTTTACTCAAGAGACTGATTTAAGATGTTAATAGAATTTATTGTTTTCATTTTGAATTATACATATTAAAAAAAAGTTAAAATATTAAACATATAGTAAGATCAGACACATTTTAAAACTAGTGGTTGACGTCGGAGTATCACCTCTAAAAGTTTAAATACTCAATTATATATGATCTTCTCGAGATAAAAAAATATTAGGTGATGTTTCTATATGTTGTAGTCTTAGTCGAAAAGAGTTATTTGATATTTGTTTTTGATGGATTGTGATAGCTATTCCTTTAAATTAGTCGATGTACGTACAAGTTTATCTAGCTTTCACGATTTTAATATAATGATCTTCTCGGCAAGCTTTTCATGAAGCATGTAGAATATTTTTTAATAATAAATTCAAAGTGAGGCTTGAACTCACGACTCTAACTACTTTGATAGAACCATTTTAAATTGAATTATCATCTCATTTAAATATTTAAATTATTAAAATAAACATAGGTATATTTACTCAATTATATATTCTTCACTCTAGACATACCAATGTGACTCTAAATTTTGAATTTGTCTGTAACGTTAAATAATATGCAGGGATAGTAGCGGAGGCGAGAACTTGCGAGTCGCAGAGCCACCGGTTCAAGGGGTTATGCTTCAATAAGTGGAAGTGTAGTTTCATTTGCAGTACGGAGAGGTTTAGCAGCGGCCATTGCGGTGGACTCCGTCACTGTTGCTTCTGCACCAAACAATGTTAATTAATTAAGATTTTTTTTTTGGAGTTATTATTAATTATAAGTGTTTTGCTATGTTATATGAATTAATGTCATGAAATAAAAAAATAAAATTATCGACCATTTGAACCTCAAGAAATAGAATTGTTCTTTTTTCTTGTGGAGTTAATGGTTGCTATGATTAATGTTATTGTCAACTTTTGATTTCAATTTTTTTTTTTTTAGTTTGAATGGTTATTATCTGTTGTAATATATTGTATTGTATTTGTTTGGATTGAATTTAAATTTTATTGTATTATACTATGTTATGTAAAAGCGTAAAATTTCATTTTATGTGAATATTGTCCCGATGAAAGCAGTGGCTTTAGACCTTCAACTTTTTATGGTCTCATTTTAAATTAATATTTCCTTCGCTCATTGTATATGAAATAATTTCACTTTATATGGAGTTGGAGTTTAAGAAAGAAAACTATAGTTGAATTTTGTGACTTAAAGTAAATTATCGATTTTTGTGTGACGATAAATTATTTTATTAATGATGAAAAATACACTTAAAGTATAATGTTTTTTATGAATTTCATATCTAAATTATAATATATGCAAATTTCGTATTCGAACTATCACTAAATGTTTATTAAAACACATCTCTTTGTTTTTAAATATAAAATGCAGAAAATAATTATTCGTGTGCCTCAATTTATATGATTCACCTCAAATCAATTTATATAACTTTAATTTTATTTTTAGCCAATTCTAAAAAAAATATCACATTTCTATATTTAATAATAATTTGACTTTAAAATTTTTATTCTATTCTTAATTTAAATAAAGAAAAGAATCAAATATGTCATTGAACTTTGAGAAAATGATCATATATGCTATTTGTTAAAAAAAAATTGGTTTATCTATGCAACTCCGTTTGACAAAACGTTCATCCACACCATTATTTTTTAATTAAAAATAATATTGATTTTGCAAATTCACTTTTTATACGTGATCAATTATAATTCGATCACGTCATTAAAAATGTTCAAATATGTCATTAAAAATAAGTTAGATGAAACTTCATATTTGAGCCTTTTTTCAATAAAAAAATAATTATATTATAACCACATAAATAACTTATTTTAGATCATAAATTTTAAAAATACATTTTGTTTCACATAATATAAATTAAGACGGAAAAACGGAGTGAGACGAAGGGAGTAGTTGATTGACTATAGGAGAAATGGAGCAAAGGGTTAATTCAGAACCGCCGGCAGAAAACCAGAAGAAGAAAAAGATGGCGGAAGATGAAGGGAAAACAACTGCAGAAGGAGAAAAAATTGAAGAGATGAAGCCATGGGAGCAGCATTCTGCTGTGATAAGCATCCCTCGTTTCGATTACAACGCTTCTTCTTCCTTACTCCGCCATTCGCATTCTGGGTTTCTCATTACATGCCCAATCAGTCAGTTTTCCTTACTTCGATTTTTCAATTTCTTGAGTATTTGGGATTAAAAGATTTTTCAATTTTTTTTATTTTAGAACCTCTGCTGAACTTGTATTGGATTGAAAAAATTCAGCTGATTGGATGGTTAGGGTACTGACAGTTTAGGATTGAGGAATAGTTGATAGATTGAAATTGATTTAGCTTTTCAAGTATATCTGTTAAGGGACTGGAATTGTGTGGAAAATGGTGTTCTGTTGAATAAAGATTCAGTAGATTTCTTCTTATATTGAAAAAAAATGGTGTCGCGAGCTGAGAATCATGAGCTCTTAAAGATCAAATATCAGCAAAAACACTAGGTGATTTCTTCTCATGTGTCCAAGTAGGTGACATAGTTACTCGTTACCTGTGCTAGTGAGAGATAGCAGGTACCCCAAGGAATAATTGATCCCAACTGATTTTGAAATGAGGAATAGTTGATTGATTGAAATTGATTTAGCTTTTCAAATAAATGAGTTTGGTAGTTGATATTGTGTGGCAAATGGTGTGCCGGGTGAATGAAGATTCACTAAATTCCTTCTTACACTGGAAAAGAATGTAACCTTTCTAGCTAAGATGTGTCCACTTCTCTTTATTCTTTTTGTTTTTAGCAGCTGCTTAAACTTTGGAAAGGTTTATGTGGTAGTATTTGTCTGTTAAAAAGCTACCTTTAGGTACCTGAACCCTCTTCAGGTAGTTATTGTGCAAATTTCTTCAAAAACTAGTTGTTAGTTGGGTACCGTTTGTTCAAAGTTAAAGGGCTTCGTTTTTGGGCCACATCTTTTGAACATGTGACATTATCTTGTTGGCCTTGAATTTGACAGGACTGTCATGTCACTTGACACATGGCATTAATTTGGGCCTAAAGATGGAATGGACCTTGAGCTTGAATGTTTGAGTGCTTGTAGAACATAGAAGAGGTGAGAAAGCGAAAATATCTTAAATTCATGAAGTTAAGCAACTTGTGGAGCTTGTTGGTTACACTGTTATGTTGGTGTGCTTTTGCTTCCTAGTATGAAGTTCATTAAAAATCATCTACTATTCTCAAGGAGAAAGTTGTAAAATATACTTTACTAGACACTTTCGGCTCAAATTTTGGATTTTTTTCACGTGTTCTCAACCGCCTATTACGTAGGTCGTAGATAAGTTAACCACTATAATATATTACCTCCTTTAATTTAACAAATCAGCGTAATTTGAACAAACATGAGGTTTTACGGCTTATTGAGACTAATGCATATAAGTAAGGGATGCTTCAAGCGGTTGATTTATTTGTGGAATGGGCGCTTGACAACATGCGCAAAAGTTTTTCCAAACTTTAAGTTGGAAGTGTAGGAACACATCATCATCTAGTTAGGTGCTCAATCGAAACAACCTGTAGTTCGAGTGTCTAACTGAAATTAACTGGCAAGTTTTAGGGACTATCGATTTGTTCCGCCTTAGATAAAGAATGAATCTCATGAGGTCTCGGGTTCAAATCCCAGCAAAGAAAGAAAATGTTAGGTGATTTCTTCCATATGTCCTTGTCTTTGGTGGACAGAGTCACCTGATTATTATTGTTGGTAGGAGGTATCCCTTGAAATTAGTCGAGGTCCGCAAAATTTGATCCAAACACCACGATATTTAAAAAAAAAGTGTCTTTAGTGCTCTATGACTAAAAAGTCTAATCCTGTGTTGGATTTTAGTTAAAGGTAGGATTCTTTTCTTAAACTTTGAACTTATTTCTTAAAATGGATAAGTGAACAACTCCATTACTTGCCTGATAATCACAGCTACTGTTTATAGCGTAGCATGTCATTATACAAAAAGTTTATTTATTTACTCTTTGGTATTCCTAAGAGTTTTTTCCTTTTGTCCTCAGAGAGGGAAAAAAGTGCAACGAAAGAAGCTATAAGTATCCTTGAAAAGGTTATTTGTTTACCTTTTTTTTTTTTTGGTATTTTCAATTCTTTTATTTATTTTGTTTCAAAAAAGTTCTGGACAAGTGACCTTTGATTTTGTTTTTCCATTGGATCTGAAATATGCACCTTTCTGGTGACTTACAGCTGGCTATGGAAACCTTATTCCTTTCTATTCAAATGATCTTTAAGTTTCCATTAAAAATCCATGTTATTTTGTATTGCACCTATAAGTTGGTGTTAAATTATCTTTGTGACCCTTGTGTTGGAAAGAATGCTAAATATAGTTGTTGCTGTTTGCCTGTCAGTATATTCTTTCAAATCATGATGCTAAGCGAAGGAAAACATGCATGGATGATGCTAATGCAGAATGTAAAGGATCAAGAGAAGGTGCAGCTAATGAACATGTGAATTTGGGTATTAATGCTTCAACATTTTGATATCTGTGTGGCCTTTTTTTTTTGTTAGTGTTGATAGTAGGGTGTGTATGACACAAATTAGGGCAGAAGATTAGTGGAAGCAGGGTGTTGTCTTGCGGTCCGTTCATATTAGAGTCGTAGTATTGTCCCTACAGTTTCTTGTCCTTCGATTGTTGTTACTATGTGTTGTTCCTTGTACCTCAATTATCGTATTGTTTTGTTGTAGTTTATGTTTTGTTACTATTTGTTGTTTTTGTTATTATCTGTTGTTTCTTGTACTTCCGTTACTTTTAGTTCGGGACTGCTTTTGATTGTTTTTTCTTGAGCGGAGGGTCTATCTGAAACAACCTCTCTACCTCTGAGGTAGGGGTAAGATTTGCACAAACTCTACCCTCCATAGACTCCACTTTTGTGGTACTACACTGGGTATGTTGTAGTGTTGATATCTATGTGGACTTACTGATACAAAGGTTTACTAGGAAGTGTCAAACAGTTCTTTGTTTTCCCCATGCAGAATCTGGTACTTCTATGGAGAAAAGTGACATTCTCTCACTCGTTAAGTTAACGAGAAGTGGATTAGTTCTCTTTAAATTTCCATTCGACAAGTCTCCAGCAGTTGTTGACATCGTTTCGCAAATTTTTCAATCCCTAGAATCTGGAATATTGAAGTCTCCTCTGTGAGTTGCTCTCGATCAATTTTTGAGCTCTTATCTACATGTAATATTGATTTATGTGGTTATGTTCGTGGTCTTTCTCATTATAGTAGGACACAATTGTCTTTTCTTCTTTCTATCCTTTCTTGTCTCGAAGATTACTTCTAATACCGAAGAAACTAAGACGATCATGACTTTTATCATGTTGTGCAGTTGGTGCAATCGGATATTACCAATTCAAGGTACATGCTGTTTAGATGAGAAGGAACTTAAGAAGATTGTGACAAAGCTTGTTGAGCAGTTTATGAACAATAGGCAGAAGGAGACAGGAAACACTGTTAAGGTAAATCTTGTCTTTCGTAACATTGTGGTACCAGCTAATCCCAAGTTCTCTTACATGAGTATTACGTTCAGTAGCTCAACCTTTTTTTCTTGTTTTTCTATTACATCGAATTGAATTTGAGTAGTATGTTCAGTAGCTCAAGCATTCTGCTCTCTGTGGGTCGATCATTCTTATATAACTTGTAGAACTAATGACATTATAGTTTGCAGTTGGGTATAACAGGAGAGGGATTGAAGAAACCGAGATGAAGAATCTAAGAAACACTTCCAGTGATCCTGATATATTTGCTTTGTTGGATCGCAACAAATGCTTTAGTGTCGTAGCAGCAGCAGTGAAAGAAGTTGTCCCAGATTCGATAGTGGATTTGAAAGATCCAGAGGTTAAAACTATTTTGTCGTCAATGACAAGTTATTAGCGTTTTACTTCCTCTGTATCTTTAATGTACTGAATGTAGCTTCTCTTTTGCAGATCTGTGTGCTTGTTGAGGTACTTCCACTGTCTGGAGTACCAGATAGGACAGCCATAGTTGGTGTATCAGTTCTTCCACGAGCACTTGTTACTACGAAGCCTCGACTCAGCATCAAGGCCTTAGTCTCGGATACAAAAGAAACGAATAAGAAGAAAAGATAATGGTCTCTTCCAAGAACAGGAAGTATATTTGAAATTTTCTGTCTGTTTTTGTTATTTTGCTAGTAGAGAATCTTATGCTAGTAGGAAGAGTATAAAGAACTTATAGTACTTTTCATTTTTAGTTGTGTTTAATAAGAACTCGGTGTATTCCCTACCGTACTCTCTCCATACATAAATATCGTTAGTTCTTGTTTAATCTTGAAGTTAGTAGTATGACTGATAAATTTGAGGTATCAGTTACCACATGACATTACTTGAGGTGTGCGCAAGCTGTCCCAAACACCATGACATTATGTGTACTTCTACTGTATTGATATTTCTGCAATTTTCTCGTGCATGGATTAATGTTTGCTGTTTTCTAAAGAAATAGCTTAAAACTTTCCTTAAGAAAATCTCTGTGTGTCTTTCAGGAGCATAGGATGCGCCTTGGACAGAAGGCTATATTTCATCTTGAAGGTATTGCATAACCTTTTAATTAGAAATTAACTTTGAGCATTATCAGAAAATAGCTTAGACTGGCTGCTTTGTAGTGATTGAGCTCTGTTTTCTCAGATATTGATTTTTATGTTACATTTACTTGATCTCTCAGTTGTTTATGCTCTCATACATTGTTTGAAATTTAAGTTGCTGTAAGTAACTTATAAATTACAATGGTAGATCTATTGTTCATGCTTCTGTGATTTCTTGTATGCTTTTTAAAAAATTTAAGTGAACTTAATTTTTGAATACTGGTGTTGTTCTATTCGTCTAAGAGCTTTGGAATGTTTCTTTTGAAAAATCTTCTGCAACATATTTGATTTGTAGATAGGATTTGCACATAATTAATAGGATGCTAGTATTAAAGGGATTTTATATTTATATTTGGATAGTGAGCTGATCGGAGCAGAAGCCTGGGAAAACATCACGCATAAAGAAGCAGTTGAATTATTTATTGTTTAGGTCGATAATCCAAGGAAATGGGCGATTGGCGATGTATACAATGTTTTGTGTGATAAGAATGTGCCACCAAGGCTTAAAGGTAACATTTATAAAGCGATTGTAAGACCAATTATGTTGTATGAGACATAGTGCTGGCCGGTCAAGAATTCACGTGTCTAGAAGATGCAAGTAGCGAAAATGAGGATGTTGAGATGGATGTGTGGGCATACTAAGAGAGATATGATTAGGAACCAAGAAATTCCGGACGAGGTGAGAGCATGTGAAGTGGAGATGCACAGATGACCTAGTGAGGAGATGTGAGACGTTGGCTACGGTAGGTATGAGGATAGGTAGAGGTAGGCCTAAGAAGTAGTGCGGAGAGGTGATTAGATAGGATTTGACACACGTGCAACTTACTATGTACATGATCTTAGATAAGAGGGTATGGAGGTCGAGGATTAGGGTAAAAGGTTGATAGGTAGTCGAACGTTGACTAGTTTTCCGTGTTAGTATTGTTCCAATTATTACTTTTCTACTATCTTATTCTTTGTTTTATCACCACTTGTTGTTTCCTCTACTTCGATTACCGTATTTTTTGTTGTTCCTACTGCTCTCTTCTACTTTGTTTTTACCATTGCTTCTTCACTACTGTATTTCCTTTCTATACTTGTTATTATTATGCTTTACTTGAGCCTGAGGGTCTATCGAAAGCAACCTCTTTACCTTCACAACATCGGGGCAAGACTGCGTACACACTACCATTCTCAAACCCCACTTGTGAGATCAAACTAGGTATGTTGATGTACCTCCCCTTGGGATGCCAAGGCAGCTTCTAGAATATGCATTATCTGGTTTAAGAAAACCGAAGGGCACCTCTGTTGAAGTAAGAAACTGAAAGGAAAATGAGATTTATCTTTGCTTGGAGATAGGGAAGGATTCTCATTCAACCTGTAAATATTTGCATGTATTGTACTTGTATCATGATTGTAATTTTGGAACACGGATAAGGGAAGGTGAGGAGTTACAATTACCTAGAACCAGCCATGTGTATGGGTAGGGTGAGAAATTATTATAAGAACTCGATGTATGTCCTACCATACTCTCTCTATACATAAATATCGTTAGTTCTTGTTTAAGCTTGAAGTTAGTAGTATGAATGCTAAATTTCAGGTATCAGTTACCACATGACATTAGTTGAGGTATGCGCAAGCTGTCCCAAACACCATGGTCATCCAAAAAAAGAAAGATAATTTTCAGTTTGTCATAAAAAAAACATTTGATTTTAGTGCAGAAGGAATATAAAAAAATTGTAGGTCGAGGAACATGATGGTGGAGATATTGTATCTGTATGGTATGATACAAAAATTGTATCTGGATGAGCACTCAATGGTGTGACCTCTAATAGTCAATATAGTGGGTTGAGAATCATAGGGTCTTAGGTCCAACTCCGGTAAATCAAAAACACTAAGTGATTTCTTTCCATCTGTCCAAGTCTTGGTGGATGGAGTTACTCGGTACCTGTGTTGGTGGAAGGTAGCAGATACCCCGGGGAACAAGTTGAGGTGTGGACTAGCTAGCCCCCGCTCCACTGTTCGAATAATGATATTGTCTGTATATGGATGATCCGTTGTAGTAGCTACTAATGCTTGTAGTAGGGTAGACTGTGTACATCACACCCCTTGGGGTCCGGCCCTTTCCTGGAACCTTGCGTGAATGCGGGATGTTTTTTGCACCGGCATGCCCTTCTTATCTATATATCGATGAATGCTAAGTAGTATTATTTATTATGGATGAGTTCACCGAATAGATTTCATGTCTTTTATCATTCTACTAGGAGAGAAACTTGCCACCTCTAGAAAATGTGTTTTCAGTTTTTCTTTTTTTTCCTTTCCCTTTCTGTTTTGCTTGCCAAATAAGGGAAAGGGACATTGTTAGCAACTTTTGATTTTCTCATTTTCTTCTAATGAGACACCCTAATATGCAAGCATTTCTCTCTACTTTTCAACTTTACTTGAATCAAACTATATTCCAAGTTAAAAGTGCTGAATCTCAGAAGGTGTATGATGTAGATAGTCTGTTGGAGTTCCTCAGTTGCCTCACATGCTAGAGTAGAGAGGAACTGAGGTTTTTGTAATATCCCTGCTGTAATCTCCCAACGCCACCTTGGTGCCATTTTGATGAATGAAACTTTTTACTAACCTATGAAAAAGAAATGGTTTGGAATGTTTCTTTTGAAAAATCTTCTGCCACATATTTGAATTGTAGATAGGATTTGCACATGACTAGTTCAGTCTGAAGGGGTTAATAGGCTGCTAGTAATAAAGGGATTTTATATTTATATTTGGATAGTGAGCTGATCGGAGCAGAAGCCTGGGAAAACATCATGCGTAAAGAAGCAGTTGGATTATTTGTTGTTCAGGTCGATAATCCAAGGAAATGGGCGACTGACGATGTATACAATGTCTTGTGTGATAATAATGTGCCACCAAGGGGTAAAGGTAACATTTATAAAGTGATTGTCAAACCAATTATGTTGTATGGGGCATAGTGTTGGCCGGTCAAGAATTCGCGTGTCTAGAAGATGCAAGTAGCAAATATGAGGATGTTGAGACGGATGTGTGGGCATACTAAGAGAGATATGATTAGGAACCAAGAAATTTCGGGCGAGGTGAGAGCATGTGAAGTGGAGATGCACAGATGCCCCAGTGAGGAGATGTGAGACGTTGGCTATGGTAGTTATGAGGATAGGTAGAGGTAGGCCTAAGAAGTAGTGCAGAGAGGTGATTAGATAGGATATGACACACGTGTAACTTAGTGCATACATGATCTTAGATAAGAGGGTATGGAGGTCGAGGATTAGGCGTAAAAGGATGATAGGTAGTCGAACGTTGACTAGTTTTCCTTATCAGTATTGTTCCAATTATTACTTTTCTACTATCTTATTCTTTGTTTTATTACCACCTGTTGTTTCATCTACTTCGATTACCGTATTTTTTGTTGTTGCTACTGCTCTCTTCTACTTTTTTTTTACCATGGCTTCTTCACTACTGTATTTCCTTTCTATACTTGTTATTATTATGCTTTACTTGAGCCTGAGGGTCTATTGAAAGTAACCTCTTTACCTTCACAACATCGGGGCAAAACTGCGTACGCACTACCATTCTCAAACCCCAGTGAGATCACACTAGGTATGTTGATGTACCTCCCCTTGGGATGCCAAGGCAACTTCTAGAATATGCATTATACTGAAAGGAAAATAAGATTTATCTTTGCTTGGAGATAGGGATGATTCTCATTCAACCTGTAAATATTTGCATGTATTGTACTTGTATCATGATTGTAATTTATTTTATTTTTTTGAAATTGGTAAATTGTATTCATTCAGCATTAATGCTATGCTGGCCACCTCCAAAAAGTTTACAAAAAAGAAAAGAGATACTTACAAAGAGCCTGTAAGATCCACTAGTTGGATTTCCTCTTCTTTACTCTGTTCTTTACACCAAAAACCTAGTGAAGTAATAACTTTTCACTTAATCTTCAAAATAGAGGATTCTTTTCCTTCAAAGATCCTCTGGTTCCTTTCCTTCCAAATGGTCCACCAGATGCAGGCTGGGACTGTCCTCCACCATCTTTTTTGGCTTTTGCTTCCTCCTCTTTTGATCCAACAGTTAAGCAAGTCTGCAGTATGTTCAGGCATGATCCAGTTGATTCCAGCAATGGAAGTGAACATAGCCCAAACTTGTGTCGTTACTTTGCAATGCATGAAAAGGTGTTTGTTGGTTTCTAGTGCCTCCTTGCAGAGGAGGCATCTAGATGCTATGATGGACTCCCTTTTTTGCAATGCCTCATGTGTCAAGCATGCTTTCCTAGCTACTAGCCAAGTGAAGCATTTCACTTTATTAGGAGCCACACTCTTCCCTATAGTATTCCAAGGTCCAGTTGACCTGCCTGCAGCTACACTCAGTCCCCTTTTGTATATTCTGCTAACAGTGAAAATTCCATCATTGTGGTGCCTCCAAATGAGTTTGTAAGGGGAAGGTGAGATTACAATTCCAGAACCAGCCATGTGTATGGGTAGGGTGAGAAATTATTATAAGAACTCGGTGTATGCCCTACCGTACTCTCTCCATACATAAATATCGTTAGTTCTTGTTTAAGCTTGAAGTAGTATGAATGATAAATTTGAGGTATCAGTTACCACATGACATTAGTTGAGGTGTGCGCAAGTTGTCCCAAACACCATGGTCATCCAAAAAAAGAAAGATAATTTTCAGTTTGTCATAAAAAAATCATTTGATTTTAGTGCAAAAGGAATATAAAAAAATTGTAGGTCGAGGAATGTGATGGTGGAGATATTGTATCTGTATGGTATGATACAAAAATTGTATCTGGATGAGCACTCAATGGTGTGACCTCTAATAGTCAATATAGTGGGTTGAGAATCATAGGGTCTTAGGTCCAAATTCGGTGAAGCAAAAACACTAGGTGATTTCTTCCCATCTATCCAAGTCTTGGTGGATGGAGTTACTCGGTATCTGTGTTGATGGAAGGTAGCAGATACCCCGTGGAACAAGTTGAGGTGTGGGCTAGCTAGCCCCCGCTCCACTGTTCTAACAAAGATATTGTTTGTATATGGATGATCCGTTGTAGCAACTACTAATGCTTGTATTTGTATTTGGGTAGACTGTGTACATCACACCCTTGGGGTCCGGCCCTTTCTTGGAACCTTGCGTGAATGCGGGATGTTTTTTGCACCGGCATGCCCTTCTTATCTATATATCGATGAATTGCTAAGTAGTATTATTTATTGTGGATGAGTTCACCGAATAGATTTCATGTCTTTTGTCATCCTACTAGGAGTGAAACTTGCCACCTCTAGAAAATGTGTTTTCAGTTTTTCGTTTTTTTCCTTTCCCTTTCTGTTTTGCTTGCCAAATAAGGGAAAGGGACATTGTTAGCAACTTTTGATTTTCTCATTTACTTCTAATGAGACACCCTAATATGCAAGCATTTCTCTCTACTTGAATCAAACTATATTCCAAGTTAAACAGTGCTCAATCTCGGAAGGTGTATGATGTAGATAGTCTATTGGAGTTCCTCAGTTACCTCACATGCTAAAGTAGAGAGGAACTGAGGTTTTTGTAATATCCCTGCTGTAATCTCCTAACACCACCTTGGTGCCATTTTGATGAATGAAACTTTTTACTAACCTATGAAAAAGAAATGTTTGAAAAGCTTGAAAGTGACCTCTGTAAAATTACAGCCGTTATCATTGACAGTAATACCTTTTGAAAATTAGAAATGAAGTAAAACTATTTTTAACAAGGAAGAAGTAATACTGTTAGCAGAGGCAGAGGAATGTCTAGCATGTGGACCGTTAACCTTTTGGGGGTTGATATGTAGGAGTTGCTTAAAAAGAAAAAAAAGCAAGAATCTCAAGGAACATTCTGGGAAGTACATGTTAGGTGATTTAGGTGCATCTCACAGTTGAATGTTTGGCGCCAAATATCAATTTTAAGAAAACTGTTGATATACTCCTGACCTCTGAAATAGAA